ATGTTGTCAAAAAAGTGAATGGAATGTAAATATCATTCTCACAATTTGAAATTCATTTTGAATAGTTTTTCTGTATATTCTACGACCAGTATTGGAAGGGATCGGAATTTAGGTAAGTAATATAACTATTTGTGATCAGACAAATATTAAAGATATACAATGAGTTGTAGATTGTATTCATCTGGGATTTAGTTTAAGTAGGAAATCAGATATACTTTTAGTGCTAGCATGTGATTCGTAAACCGAATCAGTTCTCGATTCACCTAGCAATAAAATCCAAACCAAAATCGTCTGCTCCCGCTACTTTAGTTTAATTCTTGTACCATTCGGTTGGCGAAACGATACATCATTCTTGACATTGAACAAGAAAGCACAACTGGTATAATCGACACTTACGCATGTAATTAGGTAGTTGAGTAGCGTCTAAAGGTTATTCCATTCGAAATGATGTCTTCATTTTCTAATTTCTAAAATAAGAATACACATATTTCTGACTAACGATTGTCAAGTGACTTTATCTCTAACTGTGTTATTGGGTCTTTAATTTTCATTGGTTAAATAGGTTTTGACATCAAACATTCTGTTATTTATGTAATTAATAATAAGACTGGTATAGTTGTATTGTGGCAAGCAATGTTATCCACCGTAGTATTGATGTTTACAACGAGACCTATTAATTCAAACATAAACACATCACCAACTGTGCGACTCAGACTGGATTACCATTAACGATCTCAGTGTGAGTGATGTTTACTCTTTGAATATGTAGTGACCTATTTTTATCAACAGAACGCGATTGGTCTAACGGGAATAGTCGTTATTAGAACCAATTGTACCAGTGATTGTTTCACTGTGCTCGTTTGTTTAACTGTACTAAAGACAGATATTATTACCCTCCCGTTGACTTTGACCTTGTACGAATTCGGTTACACTCAGTAACCCCACTTGCAATCTGGCACGATCTCGGTATTCTTTCGATACCACGAGATTGCCAGCAAACACATCTTGACTACAGCCATCATCTGCCTTCTGATATTGACCTATGGGGATTTTGTTGGTTAACTGGCACGTAGTCTTCTTGTAGTGGTGATCATAGTCAACTTCGACTCGGCAACACATTACGAAACAATGCATCATCTCACCATTGAAATTCAGGCTTTTTATCTGAGACGGATGAAATGAAATCGGCATAGAAATTAGTGTGTGCAAGTTTAGTGGTTTTTAAGTATTTTACAAAGACGATGTCCCTCACAGTTATGATGGATTCACTTGGTCGACTCTCAACATCGGATAATGACAAGTCACGTTGTGAATACTTTTACCTTTACTATATACTACACTTCAAAACCCCACAGTTGTTTTCCTCTGCATGCGATAAAATACATTTTTTCTTACACTGATTTCCATTAATTTATAAGTTAATGAAATTTTCTCAAATGGAAATAAAATTATATGTGATAATATCAGTGTAACTACAGTGGAGAGCCAGATGATCTATTTTTCGCAGATTAACTAGTCAATCTATGTCATACACACGAACAAATGCAGATGAAGACAACTAGTGTAGCATCAGCGTCTGCATCAGTAGGCCTCAACATACACAAGGAAAAAGTAAGATCTTCAAATACAACGCGGAAATTATCAACTCAATCTCAACTGACCTAAGAGTTTTGGAAAAGATGAAAACTTTCATGAGTTTCGGCAGTATCATCAATGAATAAGGGGGATCTGATGCAGACGAAAAGTGGAGGATTGGGAAGCAATGGATGCAATCCTACAGTTGAGGGATATATAGAACTCAATACAACTTTCGGTCAACATCAAAGTGAGAGTCTTTAATACGAACGTCAAAACAGTCCTACTGTACGAAGCTGAAACTCGGAAAACTACTACAAACATCATTAAAATGTGTAGATATTTAAGAACAATTATCTACGTAAAATACTCAATGTCCGTTGACCGGATACCATCAGCAACAACCTACTGTGAAAGTGAACAAACCAGGCTCCAGCTGAAAAGGAAATTAAGAAAAGACACCGAAGTTGGGTGGGACATACATCGTGGAAACCACCCAACTTCATTATGAGGCAAGCCCTAACTTGGAATCCTGAAGGGAGGTAAAATAGGGGTGGGCTGAAGGACACAGTAGATCCTTAAATGAAGTAAGGTATGAAAAGGATGAATAGCAACTGGGAACATCTGGAAATGATTGACTAGGACAGAGTTGGATGGAGAGTGCTGGTTAAAACAGTATAGTTCAAGTATTCATTCACTTCTTTATTTTGTATAGGCGTTACATTTCCAATTATCTTATATTGAATGTTGAGAGAATTTGTTTGTCTGAACAAGGAATACCATGCTCCACTTTAACTGCGCAAAGATCAAAATAAAGACCTATTCACTACTTGTCTGGTTTCTTCTATCAGTAGCACGAGGGTTACCTGCAGACACGAAATCCGATCTGTTCTACTGCTAGCTGTTTTGTATTAAACATCAGTGTAGGTGAACGAGCCGTTAATGTTGTATTAATACAAGTTTCTTCATGCGGAAATAGACGGTTATTGAGTAAGGAAGTCGAATGTTACTTAAGTCAAAAAGAAACTGTCGCACAAAATAGAATGAGATGCTAGCAATTGTACTTTTTGTGCTCTACTTTCGGGATTAGCCACTGAGATGCAAGTTTACTAGAGGGATTGGTTGTAGAGCTTTAGAGTGATCACAGAATTTCAGGGATATCAAAAGGAAGCAGCTAACTGTCATGGAAAACGTTCTTCTTGTGTCATATCAATAAAAAATACGGTACAGCTGAAAATTATGCAGAATATTGAATGTAAACATTTTCAGGCAGCAGACTCGGAAACCCAGATTGTATATAACGCCTTGAAAAACCAGTTCTCTGTCATATTCAGAGGAGATTTAAGATTTGAGCTGGTGTGGTAGATGTCAATGGCCCTTGTGGAAATTCGTAATGTTTATAGATGAAATGTTGTATTTTCGTTATGGACCATACTGTCTGAGACAACTAACCTATGATCTGTGATATCTTGAACAAAGTCCATGAAACTCGATGTATGGATGTGGAAGTAAAACGAAAGCAGTCAAACTTAGATATTGGTGGACAAAAAAAAGAGTGGACACATGGAAATCCGTCGGGGCTTGTAGGCGTTGCCAATTAGTTAAGAGCGCAGAAAACAACTCCATTCGACACTTAGCACCCATGAAACTGGGCTTCTGGAATTGAAGGGTGGGGATCGATTCGTTAGTTAAGTACGGGAAAGCAACAGAGGAAACAAGAATATATTAGCTGTGTTTGATCAATTCGCGAAGTGGTGTGAGGTAACTTCTATAAAATATATGAATGTCAGAGCTTTAGCAAGTGTGGAGTCTGAGGTTTGGGTCGCTCCTTTGGGTGCTCCGGATTGGAAGCAACTAAATTGAAACAACACTATAAAAGATTGTGTCGGGTCTCGGTATTCCGCAAAACATGAACAGTACAGAACATCTAATTATCTCGTGAACTCTATTTGTTATGGTTACCTCAGGAATTTACACTTGAAATTCATCATATAACCGTTTTTACTATTTCGTCATTCGATGCCCCACTTCCCATCCTGAAAACCACTGGTGTAAGAAGATAGGTACATATTAACAAACGTTAAGTTGGATGAATCACCTAAACTGATGTTATTTTCTGTGTTCCGAGTAAATATCTATGTAGTAGCAGTGTTGCTAGTAATATCTTTTTTGCAAACATTATTTTAAGAACATCTATTCATGTGTACTATAATATTGATATATTCGTTGTATTATGCCTATGTGTAAGTACCATTCGAATGATACTTATTACTAAGTGTGTAATAATATTCAACTCTGTTGTGCTCGCTCGTTATATTACTAACCGAATATATATGTATGTATAAATATATTCATATAATATTTCAATTATTGGGTCAACTGAATTTAGACTAACATGGAAAACCTGCAAGCATGCCGAAGATTCCTATGCTAGGACGAAACGGACGTCTAGTGCAACTTTGCGGATTGGTTGATGCTAGACATTGACACTGTTGGTTTGAATCTCGAGGGGTGGGATCGCGAATGCGCACTGTTGAGGAGTCCCATGTCAGGACGAAACGGGCGTCCAGTGCCTCCAGGTTTTCTGTGATGGTCTAGCTTCGATTGAATCATGAATTCAGCTATTAAATTACTGTGACATTTTTTGTAACGACATAACTCGTACTTGAGGATCTCGGTTTTTCCCATGTGCATGTACTGATTCAGAGACTGGCGCTACACTGGCTGGCTTCAACTGCATCTGTCATTGTGTATGGGATTGGAGAGCTAGGTCATCGTAAAGTCCATACCGTCCAGTCGTATCCTGAAGATGCCACATGTATTCGGAGTTTGACAACGCTTTAACCAGTAACACCTTCTTATACGAAGCGCATCCACCAAGTAAAATCAAAAGACAGAAGTGAGGAGATCGAAGATATATTTGAAAAGCTATCAATATATCGAGGATCGTTTGCACTAATCTGGCTAGCGATTGCGGCAGATGTTGAGCACGGTGCGGATGCTTGACCGAGCGCCTTCAGCTAGATGAGTGCACTGAAACTGTGGTCAGCATCCAATGTCGAAAACTTACAGAGCTATTTGATTTTGGGGAATTATTTACCGCTAAAATCCTAACTGTATTCAGGGCTTCCCCACGAGATGTGGAGTAAATATGTAAATGAATTAACTTAACACTTTAGACAGTACTATTTAAAATCGTGAAAAATAACGGAAAGCAGATATTTATTACTATCGTTTGTACACAAACACCTCCCTTCTATAAAATATGTCTACACCTTGCTCCAGTAGATTTAAAGTGACCTGTATATTTGATGATTTTCTTGTAACAATATAATAAGGATCACAATTTTTCCCTTATTTGTCACACTTCATACATAATTTTATTTAGATTCAAAATATATTGTTTCTCTGTACATATTGGACACACATAATGCACAAACACTACCGCTATTATTAAAAATAAACGCTATCGTCGTCTATCCTTTCGTCTTTTTGACCACGGCATGTATTTAAAGATTATAATGGTGTTATAACATCCCTTCAGGCCGTTCTACATTACGCTGGAGTTGTCCCAGATTATTATTATTAAATACTATCGGATATATCTCTTACCACGCCGTTGGTGCTACCACAGAGGAACCACTGTTAATCAAGTGAACCCATTTGTGGTTATCTCAAAAACAACTTACAAGTAACGTTCATTTCATAGCGATTTCTGTCATGTTTCTAATCAGTATACCCTTTTGTTATGAGTTATTGTTACCGTTTCGCTTTAGTCATAAACAGACAATTCGGTCTATAGTGTTAATTCCTTTTGGTATATCATTAGTAACTGTGCGTATGGTTATGTATTGATTAAGCCCAAGTCGCCACATCTCATCAAGCTATTGGGGCAAGACTTACCAACCTTAATGCCAAAGAAGCAGTAGTATCAGCGATAGTAAAAGGGTTAAAGCATAGAATCCAATTCATGTAATAAGAGGTGTAAAGTAACTTTGAAAACAGGTTGTCTGTCCCTACCAGTGATTTTACAAACTGACTACGTGTTTTGGTTTAAGCGCTTATAAGTTTTGTAAACCTTGTGTGATGCTCCAGATATATTTATCAAATGGTGATAACACAAATCAAGTGACTTGTGTGGCGCATATTTATTCGGTGCCCCCTTGTACCAATATTTATGTGCTCAAATAAAAAAGACAATTTCCAAAGCTACCAATCTCTAGTTTACTGTGGTTTTCATTCAGAGCCTTGTGCTCTATGCAAAGATAACAGGCAGGTCACAAACTCAGCAAATTACCATATGACTTTGGTATTTATGTTTTGAGAGGTCCTGTACTGATTGGTTGCATCTCTTATGTCTATGCTAATGTCAACTCTCAGCACTGGTGGATTTGCTGCTCAGACGTTTGAATGGCTAATGACGCTTCAGTTTCAGTTTATAAGTAATGAGAGGCTGGGTGGCCTGTTAGTTTTGAGAATGCTGGTCTCGGTCCGATTTCCCATTGAAAAGATTGGTACTGGGCTTCAGTCACACGTCGATTTAGCGAGTTTTATTCGTTGATGATATGATGGGAGAGTCTATGTCAGTTTAAAATGAATTTGTTCTTGGCTTGTGAACCGTTTTAGTGTCCTCATAAATTCTTTGTTCTGAAAGACAAGAATAATAAGATCATGTCAGATGCAAATTTATTGTCAACTAGTTTAAGAACGTTAATGAATCTGTACCTTGGTGACCGATATACATCATTATGTGCTTAGAAGCACTTATCGGCAACTGCCGAATTGTAAATATTTGATGGGATTATGAAGTTCTGGAAACTAAGTGAGGGATTTGAATTAAACCCTTTATAGAGGACAAGAGATTTTTAGTGAAACATTCATCAGGAGATTTGGGTGGCAGTTATCTTTGTGGCTTTTGTTTCTACAAGTTCAGAAATTCACTCGGGACCAGTTTATACTTTTGTGGACATAACAGAAGTGGTTTCGATCATAATATTAGGTTGACTTAAATGTTCGATTATACGCTCACAAATTTAGTGTAAATTCAAGCTGAACACAAATCCAAAAATACCTACAGTCCTACCGAGGGAAGATTAGATAACATATCATATTGCCGAAAACGAATCGTTTCACTTAAGATCTTGAAATATAATTCAATTCACCGTCGACAATGTTGCGATAATGCTAATATTATAAAGTGTGCATTGGTTCGCTTAGTAGAAGGAAGTAACCTAAAAAATTTCCGTTCGTTATTAATTTGGCTCTATTTGTGACTCTCTTTTTCAAGGTATTGCACATAGTTTTCCCTAAATGGCAACTATTGGTTGTTCCAACGCCAGTGATATATGTAGTGATTTTAATGAGATAAGTGGTGATCCACACAGAATTTGGCTAGGGTGTCTCCCAACACGTATTACGGAATTCGCTGTTTTGCAGCTAGCTAAACAATTTGGAGAATTATCTGATTTCCATTTCCCTGTGCATAAGACTGGGGATCTGCAAGGATCTACAGTTGGTTATTGTTTTCTGACATACAGGTCCGTGGATGATGCTAAGAAAGCTTGGAAAGTGTAAGTTTGTTTCATTTCATTTTGGTTGGTTGCATCTAGTGTTATTTACCTTATAATAAGTTTATATCTGGTGAAATAAAGTTGTTTGTTTAGACCCTGTTTCACATACTTCTGTCTCCATAGCTGTGTTTGTTCTTCGTCCATGTGAGTCGTTCACAGTTATATAGGTGTGGATATTCTGTCTTCCTCCATACCATGAATATTATCAAGGCATGTTGATATGTTTGCAACTAAATTGGTAAACTTGTACTAGTTCCATGTTTTGTTTTTATCTTTTGTGACTCATGTAATCTAAAATTGTTCCCAAAACCTAACAAATATAGTCGTTAACACATTTCGACAATATCTTTTAGTGGTCCTTTAGTGATCTATGTTCTTTCGCATAGTATCGCTCTTTCAAACCCAAAAGATGCCAACGTTGGTCAGAAGCTTGTATAGTGTCTAGCACTGTATCAAGCCCATATGAGTTATTCTATCTTCCGGACAGACCAATTTGTTTATTCTTCTTGAGCCACATTTTGGCCTTGTCAATTATTCACTTATTAACCCTGAATGTTTTTAGATGACCGTATGCTTTAATCTGCTACTCTTCATCACACGTCTTAAGCTTCGTGTATGGCTATAAATATTGAGTCACACTAACTCAAGGGAATTATCAAATTTGCCCTCTCCAGTGTGTTTCTCCGAGCTTTACTGATTGTCTATCTGGATCAATAAATGCATAAAATGTGTATCCATGATTCATTCTTGTATTTGAATTATTTTATTCCGTTATTCTCTAACGCGAATTCAATCGGTAATTATAAACGTGGGTTGACTGCATGTTTTTTTCGTTAACATCTTTGTACGACCAAACCGGAATCAGATCAACGGGTCACAAAAGTATGTGCCCGTGTATATGTGTCTTGTTTTTGTAATTTTATTTTGGAAATTTGAATTCCTCGTTTTTGTGCCAAAAGCGCCCATTTTTACCTTCATGTCATATTTCCCACTTGGGAGGACCCTAAATGTCATTGGTTCGTTGTCCCTTTTAACATAACCCCCGACTGCTCTGGTACGGCCGAGAGTGAGGAGAGTCAGCCCTCCCTCTCGAAATGCTCTCACATGGCCACGTGCATTCAACTACTGCCAGGGAAATCCTACTCACTACCTTCTCGCGGCCGGGGTGTTGTTTACGAAACCGAAATGACGAAAAGAGAATGTCTTGGGCTTTCACAGGGTTAGTGGACACGGAGAGTCTACCTAGGGAAGTTGGAAAACCCTGATTCCAAACCAATGGTGCACATGGCCTCCAGTATCCTGAGGGAACAAATGGCGTATGAAACTATTGTTGGTCACCGGCTACCATGGCACTGCATCTCCTTACTTTGCTCCACTGCCTTGTGGATCAGACCTTTAGGTCGAAGGCTCTGGGTGTGACCCCCTAAGAAAACTACCTGCTTCTATTTGGGCACCCGGACAGTATCTTAGCCCTCACACAAACCGAATGATTTGTGTGGCGTATATCTATTTGGTGTCTTCTTGTACCTATGTTTATGTGCCTAAATAAATAAATATTCTACAAGTATCCAGAAGCACCACCACCAACAAACACACAATTCAAGAGTACATATATAGCATAAAAATGTCCTTGGTAAACGTTACAAAATAGCATATCCAAACAGGCTCTCGCCCTTGTCTTTGCAGTGCGCCGTTTCCACAAGTTCCTGTACGGTCGGAGGTTTACTCTTCTAACTGATCACAAGCCTCTTCTCACAATCTTCGGTTCAAAACCTGGTGTTCCAATCCATTTTGCAAATCGTCTCCAGCGATGGATCTTGATACTTTTGGCTTATGACTGTGATATTGTTTATTTATTTATTTTAACACATAGGTATTGGTACAAAGAGGGACCAAATACATATGCACCACACGAATCTCAATTGATATGTGTGAGGGCTGTGATACTGTCCAGGTGCCCAAACCGAAGCAGGTGGTTTTCTTAGGGGGCCACACCCCGAGCCTTCGACCTGAATGTCTGACCCACAAGGCAGTGGGGTATCGTGAGGAGATGCAGCCCCATGGTAGCCGGTAACCAACGATTGGCTTATACGCCATTTGTTCCTTCAGGATACTGGAGCCCATGTGCACCATCGGTTTTGGATCCGGTTATAGCGCTGGAAATTTGCTTTTCGTCCTCTCATTTTCGTAAACAACACCGTTGCCATGAGAAGGCAGTGAGTAGGACTTCCCTGGCAGGGGCTATATATGCGTGGCCATGTGAGAGCATTTCGAGAGGGAGAGCGGACTCTTCCCACTCTCGGCCGTACCAGGGCATTTGGGGGCACTGTGATATTGGGTATCGGTGCACCCAACATTTTGCTCAGGTAGGTGCCTTGTCACTTATTGGTGAACACCATGCGGCTGAGAAAGATACGGTTATCACCTCTCTCTCTCAGCAGAAGACCATGCGCGCTGTTACCTGACAACTGTTCGTGCTTTGCTTGTCTCAGCATATGAGATACAAGCTGCTTCCAGGAACGACCCCATCATTAAGAAAACGATGAACTGTGTCACCGATGGTTGGCCGTCAACTGGATTCGATGGTGACATAAAGGAGCATTACCATCGTCGGGACTCATTATGTGTCGTAAATGAATGCTTGATGTTTGGAGATAAAGTGGTGGTGCCAGTTCCCTACGGTCAAGGATGCTGAAGTAATTCCATATTGGTCATCCTGGTATAAAGAGGACGAAGTCCATAGCCAAAATTTACGCTTATTGGCCCCTCATGGACCAGCACATCGTCATTTTGGTAGGCAAATACAATGTCAGCGAGCGGTGAAGTGTAACGTGAAAGTGTCTCCCGTCACATGGCCACAGCCTGAGTATCCATAGTCGAAAATACATGTCGATTTTGCCGGCCCAATCAGTAGAACCATTTTTCTAGTTGTGGTTGACGTCTCAAAATGGCCGGAAATTCTTCCCATCATGCCACTAACGATTACCAAAACGATACAACTTTTGACGGTGATTTTCGTCCGCAGACAATGGTTTGCACATCATCTTCACTCAGTTCCAAGAGTTCCGCCAATGGTTATCCATCAAGCATTTCAGCCCTCCACCTTACCATCCTCAGTCAAACGGCCAAGGAGTTATCTCCGAACTGTTGGCTCAGTGACTGTACAGTATCCGAGAATGAGCGATCACGTAGGTTCAGAAGCAGAATCAAGTTACAGTATTTATCTAGTTCACTCGGACCCAGCTTCCGAAGCAGCAAGCAGACCATCCAAGCGTCTTGATTAACAAAATCAAATTTGAATAGGTCTTCATAACTCCGAAACCACATAATAAAAGTGACTTTGGACTCAGATTTGTAATGAGATTCTGCGATACTGCTTGCGATGCCATTAGACGGTGCAGTAGTAGAATTAGAAGTGCTCGGTTTTGTGGTAGGCGTAATTTTCGTACCTACTAATATCTGGATAAGTTTCAGCTGCTGCTCATGCAATACTTCTATTTTTGAAGGATCCATGTTTGCACCAGCTTCGTCGCCAGATTCGCTATGTTTGAGATTACGAGTTCACCTAATCTGCGAACGGAACGAAGACTCAGTGACACAACAACCAATTAATCCAACTATTCTGATGCGTCCAAGCCCTGCTAACTAGAGAGAGAAGTTCAGGCTTAGAAGAGCAAACGTGTATTTCGCAAGCGGCCAGAAGCACGAACAACAACCACAAATACAATTCAAGCGCACATATATATACAACATTCAAATGTCCTTGGGAAACGTTACAAAATAACATATTAAAAGAGATAACGAACCAATGACATTTAAGGTCCTCCCAGGTGGGAAATACAACATGAAGGTAAAAATGGGCGTTTTTGGCACAAAAACGAGGAATTCAAATTTCCAAAATAAAATTACAAAAACAAGACATTTAGCAAGTGAATTCTGGATATCTGATATCCAAACCACTTAATAATGGAAGTAATTTATTTTCGCTATTGTTTCTTTTTCATAGGTTGAATGGTTTGAATTTTCATGGATATAATTTAGTTGCTAGACCGGCTCGGCCAACTCGAGACGAATTGACCGTTGCACAACGCTCATATGATGAAGCTTCCAGACTTAGGATAATGGAAGAAGCTATACAACGTGAAGCTCAACTAGCAGCTGTGATGGCCATGTGTGATTCTTCCAGTGTTTTATCCAGTTGCACTGAAGACCCGTTTAATGGAACAATTTCTGACGAACAGCTATACCCGTACGTCAACAGTATTATAGAATAGCTTTATTCACTCTGTTTTCCTAAATTTGTTTATGATATCGGTCAAAATGTATAAAAATACTCTTGTAAAATACACAGAAGAATTAATTTGACTAATTTGTCTAATTTATTAGTTCAAATACTCATCTAATGGGGTTTAAGATCTGAATGTGGACGTGTATATCAATTGCTCACCCTTCAAAATTTTGAACATTAAAAATTTTACTGACGTTAGATTTCTTGACTTGAAGGTTACATGTGACTAGGTTGATCATCGGTTTTTCTAGTAAAATATTTCAGAAAACTATATGGTATTGTTCAGAACAACAAATAAACCGTCCTCTTCAGTGAGCACAACATGAATAAACGTACATAACTTTTTGAATGTTTGAGCTTTTAACAAACTTTCATCTAAACTAACCACACTCGTTGATGTTTGTTAGAGCTCTCTCTCTCCACCAAGAGATGTAATCATCAAAACTTTATCGCTCTTCCACCTCCATTTTAAGTGGATTTACAGAATCGGTTGTTAAAACCCACTTACGTCAGACCTACTAGTAGAACTACATATTACAGTGTGCAATCATTAAAATTTCTTTCTTTAACACTATTTATTTATTTGAACACAAATATTGGTACAAAGGGGCACAGAATACATATGCGACACTAGTCACTTGGTTTGTGTGTGGGCTGTGATACTGCCCAGGTGCCTAAATCGAAGCAGGTGGTTTTCCTAGGGGGTCACACCCAGAGCCTTCGACCTAAAGGTCTGATCCACAAGGCAGTGGAGCAAAGTAAGGAGATGCAGTGCCATGGTAGCCGGTGACCAACAATAGTTTCATACGCCATTTGTTCCCTCAGGATACTGGAGGCCATGTGCACCATTGGTTTGGAATCAGGGTTTTCCAACTTCCCTAGGTAGACTCTCCGTGTCCACTAACCCTGTTAAAGCTCCAGACATTCTCTTTTCGTCCTCTCAATTTCGTAAATAATCCCTCTCCCGCCTCAAGAAGGCAGTGGTTGTATGCACGTGGCCATGTGAGAGCATTTCGAGAGGGAGAGCGGACTTTCCCCACCCTCGACCATTCCAGGGTATTTGGGTGCTGTTATCGCCTAGCATTTGCCACTTAACTTCACCCACAGTTACTTACATTTTTGGATGATTCTTGTACAAGATTTAATTAATCTCATTTAATACTTTGTTGTCAATTTTTATTTCCTTTTTAGTACTCCGAAAATATCTTCCCACTCGAACGACCCGTCTGTTTCATCTCATGTTCACATACCTGATTTATACGGAAAACGTGGCTTAAGCCAGAATTCTCAAACAAGTCCTAAGATAAATTCTCATAATGTAACTTTGAAAACTTCTTGTGAGTGTTTATTCTTAGACTGATTACCAGTTTTATCATTGATATTTATGTTTGTTTTGTGCGCTTTCAAATTCCGATACTTCATATATATGCCCAACCGTCTACTTGATGGTGAGAAGAATGTGAGAGGATAACCGAATCGATATGTGTTGTCTGAGAACTACTCTTAATAACTGTAGAGAGACGATATATTCTTTGTTCTTGAAAATGTCATGTCATTCTTGCACTTCTCTTGACACCCCCCTTCTTCCCCTGACCATGATTATCTTTATTAAACTGAATCGATAACAAAACTAGAAATTGACTAAGTCGGACAACATATAAACTATTTTAGTCTGGAATCCATCTTAAGGGATGCTCGTTTTACTTTCAAAATAAGTGCTTTGTTCATCTACACTTTTCTTCACGTAGTTTGAAAATATGCTCCATTGTTCGGTTAAAAAATTGATACAATTAATCAGAAGGTTCACTATCAGTTGAACCCATAACCTTGATATCATCTAGATAAGCTGCTGTTCTGGACATACACGTTAATATCGTACCCATTATTTGCTGAAAGGTGGCATATAAGTTCTTGATGCTAAATGGTAGGCGGGTATGTTAAAATAACCTTCGATTAGTGTTTATAGTTAGAAGCTCTCTGCAGTCATCTACTTCCACATACAAATAAGCATCAGAGGAATCTATTTTCGCGAAGCATGTTCTGCCATTAAGCTTAACAAAGAGGTCTTCAGAAATTGGTAACGGGTACTGGAATACATCCAAACACTTTAGCGGTATTTGGTATTACTGACTTAGCAATGCGATCACATAACCCAAGACAGTTGGTTGAGGCTCGTCACATATGACACTTGTTAATAGTTGTCGCGTTAGGGTCGTACTTTTGTAATCTTTCCACTGGCACTAACGATTTCGTCAGGTAGGAAAGTGTTATTTTCACGACTAACCCTTTCTAATCGTTCTTTCGTTTACTGGAAGGTACCAATTGTTCATGAGAAATGCTTTACTACAACCACCACCCCCTACATAGTTAACAATGGGCTTACCCTATGACCTTAGATTTATCTCCTTTTGATCTTATCTCTGTTTCACTGATTTGTCAGAAACCAAAAAAGCAGTGAATATCTGTGATATGACGGTAAAAGATGATATTTACATCAATAATATTTTGTCAATTGATTATGAATTTTGGCTCAAGTGGCAGGTGTAAACTTACATTCAGTGTGGCAATTATGTTCCCTATATCAATTAAGACAGACTATATTCAGTGGATGTGTGATAATTAGTGTACAAATGGTATTTTGGTCTAATGACGTGATTTCGGGACTTGTCTTTGGACGGGTTTACTAGAGAGTCAATAAATCTTCATTGCACCAATCTGTCGTGTTCCTACTTTGTTTCGTGGGAATTGCGGTGGTCTCTGTCAGTTATAGTTGTGAGATTTCAAACCTGATAAAATCAGCACGTACGTAACATCTGTCATATCCAGCGATGACTAAAGAAATGTCAACTGCCAGAAATTATTTGTGGATTATTATTGGATATATTCTTATTGTATAATTATTAGGTAATCAGCGCTATATACATATATATTCCTCTTATCGTGAGCTTTCTGTTAACCCCCTCAGTGACGTTATGACTTTGTATTTTATTATTCACAGTGTCCCCTAATCACAACCACTTTTGTTATTTACCATTTTGTTGTATAATACGTATGAACTGCCTATATTTGAAATATAATATTCTTATAGTAGAAGACTCAATGGGCAAGAGAGGGAGAGAAGCCATCGAATTGAGAACCAGTAAGGACCTACCAATGACTTAATGTGGTAGTGCTGATTGGCATATAATCGGTTAGCTCAGGGATAAAGCCATAGAAATCGATATTCTGATTGATGGTTTTATTACGCGATGTTAGACAGCAGGCTACAAGTTATGACAACATCGACGACACGTTCAGACGTAACACTACTATTATTCAAATGTCCAGTAAAAAAATTAGTCTGTTAATCCTCATTTGTGTGTAAATTTCATTGTTTGAAGACTACAGTGTGATTACCGGTAAGCAGCTATGTTGAATAATATGAACGTTCACTGTGTTTGATATTCAGTATTCTAACATAAAAATGTCCTTTACAAACTAAATTCATATTTTATGGTTCAGTCTACTGCGTTAGCATCCTTTAGTTTACATGTCTAACTCCAGTCAGGTCACAATGGCTTCTCAAAATCAGTCACTTGTTAGCACATGATATAGTTTATGAGTGATTGTAAAAACTGTTAAATTGCGTAGTCGATATCGCAGATTAATCTGAGTTAGACAACCATAAAGTACCAGGAACTACTAGGCAACTGTGTCGTCCTCGATGGTGTAAACTATGAAAATCCATTCGTTCCTGCAAACCACTGCATTCCCTCCCCTATCTAAACTAATTTCATATTTAAATTCGATTATCATTAATCAATATTATTTGACTGTTTTGTTTTATAGCGTGCAACACAAATCACCATCGTCGTCCAAAAAATCAAATAGAAACCAGAACAGCTATACATCTAATTGAAAGGGCTTTAAAAAATTTGGAAAAAACACCAATCGGTGGTGTAGCATCATTAAAACCAATTACAAATGGTCATACTAATCCTTGTTCTGATGTATTAATATTAAAATCAACAAATCTTGTAAAATGTGACAAGAATAATCGAGTTCATTGTTCTACATCATCACCATCTATATCTTGTTCTAGGCGAATAACTATTAGAAAAACACATGATAACAATACAACAAAATTACATGCACTCCCTCGTCATCATCGGTGTACCAAATCAAATGATCAACTGATCCATAAACGTGATTTTATTGCACATCCTATGTAATATTAGACATTTTCATGTAGTGTATATATGTGTGTGCTGGACTGTTTTTCTTGTGTTTTCATCCTTTATTTCCTTTCCATGAAGCATACTACGTAAATGCGTGTGTGCTTGTCTTTTTGTATAACCAAATCACCGAGTTCTATTATTCTGTATTTTTCTTTTATCTTGTTCACTTATAGTTTATTCTTATTGAATAGAATTGGTTCGTGCTCTATATAGTATATTACTAATCAGTATCAGTAAATAACTATATACACAGCTTTCTTCAAATTTTCTTTTGTTCCTGTCAAAAAAAGTATGTTCTTTTCAGTAAAGTAATAATAAACCAATTATCTATAATCTATACCTAAGATGTAAAGATCATTAATATTATAGATGTTTGATATGAAAGGCTTAAAACTAAACCCAATTCATTTGGAGAAAGAATAAATCACCTATCGAATTGATATTCATATCAGTCGTTCATAACACTTGGTCCGTGTTGCTTTTCAGTCAGTGATCTGTGTATAAGCATATCATTTTATTTTTTTTAAGCTTATTATTCTAACTGGTGGTCATATGGTTGATTTCAAACCTTTGACAGAGTTCAAGCTTACGTCAGTAGTTTGATTTTGTGACATGACTAGGTGTCACATTTCATGTCATTCTATTTCATCTATCGATAGGTGAATTCTTCCATTTTAACAATCAAAAAATTGGTCCATAAAATTATTATTTTTTTAAAAAAACTAATCCTAGAAGAGATGTCAGTTATGATTTATAAACAAAGTAAATAATTTACAAGCATTATAAGCAAAAGTGGATAGTGGCTAGCAGTGGAATCCAGAACGCGCGTTTCGTCCTATTTGGGACTCGTCAGCTCATGCCAATAAGAGACTGAACAATTTCAGTCCTAAACATCAATGGGAAGATTCAAATAAATAAAAAACAATATCAAGTGAATTAAACTTCACCCCATTGCACAAGCAAGTGGCTATCAGGACTCAGTAGCTAAGTGGATAACGCAATGGCGTTTGAAGCGGACGGTACTGGGTTCGAGTCCCGGAGTGAACATCAACTGTGAGATGCAGGTACATCCAGTTGACGAGTCCCAAATAGGACGAAACGCGCTTCCTGGATTCCACTGCTAGTCACTATCCATCTTTGCTTATAATGCTTGTAAATTAAGGCAATATCGAGGCATACGCACAGTATGCACATATGCCAATAAGAGACTGAACAATTTCAGTCCTAAACATCAATGGGAAGATTCAAATAAATAAAAAACAAAAACAATATCAAGTGAATTAAAGTAAATAATTGTCTAATTATAGGTATTTCAGTTTACACCTTTTTATCTTTAAATCTAATTTATAATTAATTCTGTCTTGATTTGAACTCCTTATTCATTTATTCTGTAGTAATGATATTTTAAATAGTCAATCAAATTAAAATTAATTCAATAGTTTCTATCAATCTACTAAGGGGTTTTTGTTGGCGATTATTCGATGACTATTGAGAATTTATGAGAGAAAAAAAAAGTCTTTCTCTGTATTATTATTATTATTATTGACAACTTTCAACTTGATTAATCTCTAAGATTTATTATATGAAATATTTCAACTTATAATAAACGAAAAAATATCATATTTATTATAATGTATAAAATGCTTGGTGAAATCACTTAAGATTTTGTCAATGTTCTTTTACGAAGCTTAAGATAGGAATAAATTAGACATTGTTAGTTTGATTACTTTAACTTAGTGTAGATTAAAATATTGTCAGTTATTGATATCATTGTGAATGAAAACGGTAATATTTCCCTATACTAGTCGCTCTATTTTTGTAGACAGTAATTCTGATATCTGATGTTTCTTTCAATTTATGGTTACTAATAATAATATTTTTAGTCAATGGGGCTGCTTCAGTGTTTGAATCATTGGATGTTCTCCATGTTACTTTCAGATAGCAACTATTTTCCAAAATTTATGTTTAGATAACTAAATTATCTATATGTACTGTATCTAAATAGGCTAATTGATTTTGGCTGCGCACTATCGCATGAATGAGTTGTCAGGTTTTCTAAGCTTAACAGGACTCTTTAAAGTTAATTATTTGTGATGTAAATTTGGTCGTTGCGTTTAAGCATGCTAGGATTTTGCTTTTGTTAATCTCCACTTGTTACAGATGCATCTCTAAAGGGTATTTTACGGCAACAGATAAGATTTTAGTGGTTAGCCTGATACATTAGATTTCCTTATTGTTGAACTATTAGTAATAATTCTATACGAATCATTGGCAAACTGGAAATGAACTAGGAAATCATTGAAAATCTGAGTTCAGATAATGGATAATTCATTCTCATTTGAAGATTCTGTACCATTGATCATACTATCAATCAGAGTGGATTGTGCATAAAAAATTTAAGTAGCCTCAAATCTGACTCCACTTATAAATGAGTCATCGAATGGTTACTGTCGAAATATACATGTCACCAATTCTCGTATATAATCACCGACCTAACTCGCTTTGGTGAAGAACAAAATTAAATAAGTTAAATACGAAAATGAATTTCGAATACGTACATTTCACACAATCACTCATCCAGACAAACGAGCGGAGAAGAGAACGAAGTGAAATGATGCGCAGTGGAGAAGTCATGTAAGCCAACTTGATTTAGTCGAGCGTTAGTTGGTATTTATAATCAGACAAAAATAAGTTACAGACATGTGATGAGTGAACACGCATACGTTTACATAAAAACCGTCAAGATTGACAACAGAATAGTCAACAAGGTCAAAATGTAGTTTGTAGAGAATGGTTAGGTTGGTTTGTCCAGAAGCCAGAATAAGCTGTGTGGGTTCCACATAGGATCAACCACTACACTTTATTGAACCCGCTGGTGATCTGAAGCTACGTCAGCTCCTCTCCTGGTTCTCACGTCTTTTTAGTGATGCAAATATGATCGATCTGATTCTCTGTATTGTGATTCGTTGAAACGCGAGTATCTTTGTTTGTGTGGGAATATTATGCCACATGTAACCATTTTGTTGAATCTATATAAATTCTCGAATCTCTCACCATTTTCATTCCTTTCTCTCAATTTATATCATCATACCTGGTATTATCTATCTCGACTTTGGCCTTTAGGTCTTCCATCAGAATGGTCAGGTCCTTTCCTGAGCACTTCACTATAACCGATTTCTGCATTTTGTGAAACTGATCTTTATTGTCGTTTTTGCTATCATTAATGGGTGTATAACATTGGGTACATTTACTGTGATTTCCTCCTTTGTTTTGAAGGATGCTTTGATGATCCTGGATCCATGAGATTCCCATCCTATAAGTGTTTTATATGCTGCTTTGTGCAGCAGAGCAGCACCCTGAGTGGGAGGAGCATTTTGTTCTTTGTTATCAGAGCATAGTAGCATCGCTTTCAAATCCATCTTTTTCTGTCCAGTTTGAGTTAAATGGGTTTCTGAGTACTGCCAAGTTGTATCTCCTCATTTCCGCAGCAATTTTACTGGTCCTCCCGATCTCCCACATTGTTTAAACATTCCATGTACATATACTAAATGTTGCTGTGGTTGTTAGAAGAGGCACTGGCCCTATGACTTCCAAAAAATATCGGCATTCACCATGAGGCATTATAATTCTTCTGAATGAGGATTTTTCAACTCACAAGTTGGGTTAAATAGTTTAATTTGTTTATTCTGGTTAGCGTTTGTTTAGCGAGGTTGTTTTCTACTAGGTGAAGTTTCTGACGACATGCTCAACCCTCATCCTTTACCCGGGCGTGAAATCAGCCGTAACCCTAGAAGAGCTACAGACGGTGTTACATGGTTGTCTAGCCCTAATTATTCATTAAATTCTGTAGATGATATTGTAATTGATGTATTTAGAAGCCTTAGTGACTTAATTATTTGTACACTGAATTTCGATACTTGGTGGTTGGAGCCAATAGACAGGTACTCTGCTTTACCTAGGTTTCTTACTGGTTATTATGACTCGGAATGTTGACGACCGAAAAGCTCTGGTTTAACGTTGCTAACCGTGACACATGTTTTAATCTTACAGTAAAAAGTTGTTTAATATTAAAGGTGTACCTTACTGGTTTGTAACAGAAAGCTCAAAATCTGAGTTCACTTCTTGACTCTAGTTTCTTTCAACTACCCTATAAAATAAACAAGTTATAAAATTATTATTTAACCAAGTTTTCTTCTATCGTACCGGTTAACACTTCGTATTTAACTGAGTAAGAAAACATCTAATGTTTGATAAGCTTCTGTCCGTAGTTCAATAAGTTTGTACCTATCCATCTGACCATTATGTAGACTATGGACTCAAGTCAGTTGTAATTATGTTGCTTACATCGACTGATAACTAGTCTCCGCCAACAACTGGAATGGTGTAACCACTTGATTTTCGTGATCTAATGTTGAATCTACATCACGTATTAACTGTTTAGCATATCCCACTCTACTTGATGTATGAGCTACCATGATTCCACAGCATACTTAGACAAAGTGCAGAATCTTATCATGTTAAAAAATGGAATGATGATATACACAAGAGGTAACAAACTATCGAATATGTCAGTCCTCAGATGTAAATTAATCAATTCGCGTTACTGGACACTGACGGCGATGACTTTTCGTTTATTATTATTCCAAGTCGAGCTGTCAGTTCCCATAGTTGAGATCGGTAAGTTTGATGAGTAATTTGATTAGGGTTCAATGCCATTTCTCAGACCGAAAACGTTCATCTCAGTCATTTATTTTGTGCTTGGTTGTATACTACTTTTCATTAAAAAGTAGTATCTAGTCACTTGATGCAATTTCTATACCCTTTAATTGAGATGAAGATTGAGGTTTTGTCAGAAACGAGCCTACTGTCTAATCCATTTTATAATAACTTATGCTAAATTGCATTTCACCTGAATCAAAATTATTCATCTTACTGTACGTGCTATTCATTGTAACCTATCATGAAGCACCTAGTTTACGGAAGTTTATTTGATCTACATAAGTGTTTTAATAGAGAAAAACCTTGTTGTTACGTTTCCTGTTTACTGGGGTTCATCGACAAGATATATTTATTTTCTCGAGTAAACCGTTTTGTTTCATAAGATATATATATATATATACAGTGCCGTTTACTGCCTTTGGTGTCTAGACAAACATGTAATAATGAGGTTGGTGATTATAAACTGCGTTGATTTGAGAAACCGCTTACTCCAAGCACTTACGGAGTCTGTTAGAATGAAACTTTAAACAAAATCAATAAACTACGGCTCAATATAAAGTTATTGTTTCTTTTCAAATCATGGGTAATACTAATTCACCAAAGGTTTTGGAAAGTTTTTTTGATAGTCATCTGACATTACTCTTTCTAGCTGTATGTTAGTCCCAACATACCTTGACACGAACCTTCCCCTTCATCCCTTGGCTTTATACTATCTAGAAATCCGTGGATTATTGCTGTATTAGTCATTGTTGCCCAGAATATGCCGTAAAACAGTCAGATTTGAAAACAAAAGCCATTCACCAGTTACTTATTTTCTTTAAATAACATTCAGTCTGTAGAGCAGAGGCTATCC